CCCCGGCCAGGGGCCGGGGGAGTCTACAGAACGAACTGCCCAGGTGCCTCTCCGCAGGCCCCTGCGCTCACGCTCTCCCTCCCACCTGCCCGGCCTTCAGTTCACTCAGCCGCCTCTCCCTGGACTCGCCTCCGCCCATCTCCCCGCCCACTCCCACGGCACCAGGCTCCTGCCCACACCCCCAGGGATTTGGTTATTCCGTCCTGTCCCGATGGTCAGTCTGGAGCCTGGCCCCCCGGGAGCGTCTTACCCATGACCACCGCCCCCTCCCCGCCTCCCCTTTCATGACCCCATCTGCCTGCTCCCCTCCCCCTCACTGGCTGCCCATCCGAGGCCCGGGTGTGATGGGACAGAACCTCCCTGTACGCCTGGCATCTGGTCTACCCTTCACCGGAGCGACACCTGGTGGCCAGACGGCAGGTGAGCCTGGCAGAGCATCGCCGTTCCCTGTGAGGCCGTGCTGATGTGAAAGCAGGCCCTTAAAAGGATGAGCCACGGCCCTGGCCAGTTTGGCTCAGAGGGTAGAGCATCAGCCCATGGACAGAAGGGTCCCAGGTTCGATTCCGGTCAACCCGGTGGCAGGGGGCAACCAGTCGATGTGTCTCTCTCACATCGATGTCTCTCTCTCTGGCTCTCCCCTTCCCTTCCACTCTCTACTAAAAAAAATCAATGGAAGAATGTTCTTGGATGAGGATCAACAAAAATAATCATAGGAGGATGAGCCCACGGACACAGACAGTAGACAGGTGAAGGCCGGGGTCGGGGGGAGATGGGTGGGGAGGGCCACGGGGTGGAACGGGGGCGTCTGTAATATTCTCAACAATAAAATAAACTTAAAAAGAAAAAGGAAGCGAAGCCAGGGGCGGGGAAGTGGGTGAGGGGTCGGAAGGCACACGCTTCGAGGTGTGATCACCAACCAAGTCCTGGGAATGCGATGCCCAGGGCAGCGGCTACAGCCACCACCACTGCGGCCTGAGAGCTGCTGCGAGGAGACCTCACGAGGGCTCATGACCCGGAAACGGTACCCATGTGGGCGGTGGACACGCACTTTGTACATGTGTCAAAGCATCAGGGCGACGCCTTAAGCTGACACAATGCTGCACGTCAGTCACAGTTCAAGGCCTTCAGGGGAGAAGGAGGATGAGAAGCAGGAGCTGGGATGCGGGAGGAGCTCGGGCTCCGGGGACAAAAATAGAAGTTGGGGCCAAAAGCTGTTCCAACAGGAAACTGGAGGACCTGAAGACGCGCCTCCACAACGATCCACATGCAGCTTTAAAATAACTGTATCCCCCCCAGCCGGTGTGGCTCAGTGGGTAGAGCGTCGGCCTGCGGACCAAAGGGTCCCGGGTTCGATTCCAGTCAAGGGCATATGCCCGTTTACAGGCTCGATCCCCAGTGGGGGGCGTGCAGGAGGCAGCTGGTCCATGATTCTCTCTCATCATTGATGTTTCTCTCTCTCCTTCCCTCTCCCTTCCTCTCTGAAATCAATAAAAATATATTTTAAACAAACAAACCCGAAACCCTAACCGACTGAGGAAAGCCGGGGCCCGGCCCCGCGGGGCGCCTACCGCGTCGATCTCGTTGAGGACCTTCCACTGCTCGTAGGGCACGCCCAGCGCCTCGGCTGTCTGGATGGTCCGCTTCATCTGGCTGGTCCACACCTTCAGGTCCTTGATGTTCTGGTCGCTGATGAACTGGGCCAGACTCCTGGCAAACTGCAACGGCACCGGCGGATTCAGGCCCCACAGCCCCAGGTCCCCGGCCACGCGCCTGGAGGACCCGTGAAGAGCCAGGCGGCAGCACCCACACCCTCAGGGCTGTCCCGCTGTCGGTCAGAAGGTGCCCGCCCGCCGCTGCCCCAGCCCCAACCACGCCGAGGCTGCAGGACCTCCCGCTCAGGCCTCAGTATCTCCCCTCGACCACGGCCAGCACAGCTGACTGTGGGCGCAGGCCACTCCCGAACCCACGCCTCCCCCAGGCATCTGCTCGGTGCTTGGTGACCTTCCCTACAGGGTGGGAACCTTCTAGACTGAATGAAGGTCATGCATCTCGATGACTGCATATTGGCTATGAGAGCGGCAGCCCAGCGCGCGCGCGCACACACACACACTGACCTCCCTGCCCCGCGGGGACAGTCCCGGGTCCCCGCCGATGCGGCCCTTGAGGTTGAACTCGCTCTCGCCGTGCCGGCAGAGGTAGATGGAGCGCGGGGTCACGTGGATGTTCATGAGGTAGTACACGATGCGGCTCTGGATGTGGTCGGCCACGCGGTTCACCACGTAGCTCTGCCCCACGTCCATGATCTTGATGTAGGACAGACCCCTGTGCCAAGCGGAGCAGAGAGGGGCTGGTGTGGCCGGGGCCTCGAGGGCACATCCTGCCGCCGGTCGCGGCCCGGGACCCTTGCATCTCTGACCGCCAGGCCTGACATCACCACGGGGTGTCAGCAGTGATGGGGGTGGGGGTGGGGGGGCAACGAGACATGTGTGACATGCCCGGCCGGCGTGGCTCAGTGGTTGAGCGTTGACCTATGAACCAGGAAGTCACGGTTCGATTCCGATCAAAGGGCACATGCCCCGGTTGCAGGCTGATCCCAGTGGGGGGCGTGCAGGAGGCAGCCGATCAGTGATTCTCTCATTGATATTTCTCTCTCTCTGCCTCTCCCTTCCTGAAATCAATAATAATAATAAAAAAGGACATGCGTGACACACAGACAGACCCTGAGGGAGGTAAGCAAGGCTCATGCTCCCTAAAGGCGCCGTCCAAAGCGCGGGGGGTGATGCCACCCGGTGACGGCCACCACGCTGTGCCCCCTGAGCTCTCAATGCCCTGCCCGTAAGGTGAACAGGACAGTCTTTTCTGGGATGGACCAGGGAGCCGCTGGCAAACGCTCCTCCCGCCATCTGCCTGCCCGGCCACCACGGACCTGGCCTCTCCTCCCCTGAGCCCCCCCGGGACCCCGGGCAGAGGGGCTGCCGCCCCCCGGGCAGCAGGCAGGTGAGGCAGCAGGAGGAGGCGGGTCT